CTCATTTCAGATCTTTATGAAAACAAAGTCTAGTATTTTCGTAGGCTGTATGACTCCTTGCAGGGGACATTTATTAAAGAGACACAGTTTACCCATCCATTGAAGTATTTGCTTCCTTCATTTGTAGCTTAGCTGGGCAGGTATAAAACAATTTTTGCTATTGTGAACTATGATTAGCTAAGAATTTTCAGAAGCATAATTCATGTGAGGGCTTCCCTGGTGGATCAGAAGGTAAAAAATCTGCCTGCAGTGCAAGAGACCTCGGTTCAATCCTTGGATCAGGAAGATTCCCTGGAAAAGGGAATGGCTACTCACTCCAGTCGTTTTGCCTGGAGAATCCCATGGACAGAGGAACCCAGGATATAGTCCACGGGGTCACAAAAATTTGGGCACTACTGAGTGCCTAATACTTGCACAACACACACAACTCACCTGAAATTTCTTTCTTTAGTCATTAGCTAAGCTCAGGGATGTGAGATGTTAAAAATAGATGCAAATTTCATACCTGATTTGTAACTTCAGAGTTCTCTGGTGGCTCAGAAGGTAAAGGATCCCCCTGCAATGCAGGAGGCCTGGGTTTGATCCCTGGGTTGGGAAGATCCCCTGGAGGAGGGCATGGCAACCCACTCCAGTATTCTTGCCTGGAGACCCCCAAGGACAGAGGAACCTGGCGAGCTACTGTCCATGGGGTGGCAAAGAGTCGGACATGACTGAGCGGCTAACACACACACACACACACACACACACACAGACACCACACACACACACTTCTATGGGGCTAACACACACACACACACCACACACACACACACACGACACACACACACTTCTATGGGGCTAACACACACACACACTTCTATGGGGCTAACACACACACACACACACACACACACTTCTATAGGGCTAACACACACACACACACACTTCTATGGGGCTAACACATACACACACACACACACACACACCACACACACACACTTCTATGGGGCTTCCCTGGTGACTAGGTGGTAAAGAATCTGCCTGCCAATGCAGGAGATGCTGGTTCAGTCCCTGGATTGAGAAGATCCCCTGGAGTAGGACATGGCCACCCCCTCCACTATTCTTTCCTGGAGAATCCCATGACGGAGGAGCCTGGCGGGCTGCAGTTCATAGGGTCACAAAGAGTCGGACACCACTGAGCAAGAGCATAGGGTTCTCTACCGACGTGTTGATTCATTAAATGACTTAAATATAGCTCAATTGATCTAACACAACTTAACTTTTTAATAACTTTCAGATGCTACTCAAAGTAATGTTAAATGTGTTTTGAGGACTAGACAGCAGCAGTCATGAAGTAATCCATACCATTTCAAAAACGAGAACTTTACCTTTGGGAAATTACTCAATTCTCTTGAAATAGCTATTTATTTATTTATTTATTTACTGGATTGCCATTTATAGTAGCCTGTACAGTAGCTCTAAACGTGCATTATAATGAATGCACATTTAAATGGTCGTTGTAAACTTTCCCAATAAACTCAAATGCAGTGCTTCAAAGTGTATAAAATTGATGCAAATGCCCTGAGGGTGTGTGTGATGTATGTATATGTGTATATCTGTATTGATATGTGCGGAGTATTGAGTAAAAGCTTGAGGGTCATACCAGTACTTCAATCAGATAATTCATTTATGTTTCTATGTATTTCTAGCAAGCCCACTGTTCTGGCTTCTAAACTTTCAGTGATATAGAGGCAATGAATTAAAAATTGTAGACAGGCACACAGGGAAACATGAAGTGATCTGATTTATACTATGTGTGGAGTCAAAGAAACCATAAAAAAAAGTCACAGTAGAGACTTGAATACATTTTTGATCAAAAAGTGTAAGAAAAATTTTATAAAGCTAAAAAAATTATTAACTAAAAGCATAATGTATCACAGCCTTGTGCAATAATTGAAGCTAAACATGATGTCATTATCTAGAAAAGCTAAGATTATCTCTAAGTTATTGCTTAATAAAGCAAGGAATAAATATCCAGACACTTTTTAATAGTTCAGAATGATAAATGACCTAAACTTTTAATAACAGATACAAAATAATGTTTGTAATCTATACATGTTGGTATATTGTGTACCCATTAATTATGTTATTTTTCTATGCTAGCTTAAAATAAAAGTATGCATTAGATTAAAATGCAGATTATATTCAATGTGATACTTCTTTTGGTAAAATATATTTTATATTTAACAATTCATTTGAACAAAAATATTTTATTGATTATAGAAATATCTGTCCTGAGACTATATACAGATGCTTTAAAGAACAGAATTTGAGCTGCAATTTCATAAAATGGCATTAACTTAAAAAATGATAGGACTTAAGATCCACTGATACATTTTGACTTATCAAATACATGTTGCTCATTCCTTCTTCTGTGTTTTCAGCAAACTTCTGTTAAATGCCCACTGTGCACTTATGTGCTGCAGTGCATCATGGCAGTGTTCTCCTGAGAAACACAGCCCCTGTTGTTGAGTAGGGAAGAGGTAAGAGAAACTGGACATGACAAGAATTCTGTAAACCTTAATAATACCTTTGGGTTTTAACTAAAGGCAAATCGGTGGCCATAAATCTTTAAGCAGTCAAATGGCATGATTGAATTTGGAATGCAGATTTTCTGAATCTGATTATGGTGTATGAAATAGATGGAAAGGGGACATGCACAGAACAAGGGCACTTGTTGCAGTGATGGAAGAGTTGGAGTTATTTAGGTCAGAATACAGGTGCTTATAGCAATCCCATTCTACTATTCTTGCCTGGAGAATTCCATGGACAGAGGAGGCTGGTGGGCTACAGTTCATGGGTCACAGAGTCAGACAGAACTAAGTGACTCTCACACACACACACGTGCCTAGACTGCAGTGATCACAGTGCAGGATTTACAAAACTGAGGACATACATGCAATAAAAGAATTGGGACATTGAGTATTCCTTGGGGGAAATGCCTAAACTGAGTTTCAGTACTGGTAAAGGCAGGTACAGACTATGGGATTCGCTGATCCCATCCTGTTGGATGCTAGCTGAATAGCCTTCTAGATTTCTTTCCTTCTTTACTTTTTAAAATCCAACTCTGGCTCTTTTTAATGGCTACAGAACAGAGGTTAAGTTGGGGATTCTTTTTTCTAGCTGATGTTGCCTTCACAGGGTGATTCAGGGAAGCCAGCTGGCCAGATGCAGGCCTCTTTGGACTCTTTCACCTCTAATAACAGAAAGCTGTAGAATTCTCAGCTGAGCACATAAAGAGTGAACTTGCTCAAAAGGTGTCACTGGTCACGTGCACACACTGTTTGTGGCAAGCTTCCCTTTCTTCAGCTAGAGATGATGGATTGTCTTCCTAACTGGCTTCATACAGATGGCAGCAACCTGGCAGGAAAATCTAGGCGAGAGTACATAGAGGATTAGTGCTTCTTGAGTTTCAGTTTTAAGGTTTGTAAAATGTACTAACTGACCCTAAACTAATAGGGTTTATATAGGATTTCTGCTTTATAGAAACATGGGGGCTGGGGGAATGTCTTTCAAATATTGTTGCAGGTCCATTAAACTGGCCTAGCTGCATATTACCAGTTTCTGTATATTTGAAAGAGTAGAGGACCACTTATTTGAAGATGAGTTGTTTCATTCTGTTATTGCTGTGACATGATGGTGTTTTTTTTTTTTTTTATTGGAGGTGTCTGATATCTGTTAAACCCATTCTGAGAATGGATGCTTAAAGTTTGAAGAAATATCACTTCATTTTCTATTAAGTTAAAGAAATAGGAATAACAAGAATGAAGAATTCTTAGTGAGGAAAACAAATTAATAGATAAATGAGCCAATTTTAAAATGTACTTTGCAGTCACCATTAACAGAGTAAATCGTTTCTTAGATGTTTTTATTCAGCAATATATAAACATTGCCTCTCACCTTATACTGTACATGACTGGTGGCAAATGGATAATAATAGAGTGTTACTTCACTTGTTAATAATCCAACAAAGAGAATGTGACTTAGTGATCAATGGCAATTACAGTAGAATTGCAACATATGGTAAATTGAATCTTTTTGTACAGTGGCATTTAGTTGTTTGGGACCATGTACCAAATTAATGGGAGCATCAGGTAAATTTAACATCTTTACTGCTTTAATTGATCCTAAAGTCGGTGATTATGTTATCTATAAAGTCAATTTGCCCTTTTCCCATTATTTATGATATGCACTTGTACATCAGGCATATCCAGGCACAATGCAATTGCAACAGACATGGTTGGAGCCTGCTCCAAATGCAGTGCACAGCACGAAAGAGGAGTGACCTGGGAGTTTTGGTATTGCACTGAAAGACTGTCTTATTACTTCTGCTTTAGTTGTCATAGAGATGAAATAAACATATAGCATTGCATTAATCTTTTAAAATGTCCAATAATTGGAGAATAACCTAAAGAGTTTTTCTTTTGGATTGATTCATTTTAAAGTTGTTCAGACTGTCTTGAGTCTTCCATATCCCAAGGTCTATCTTGGTAAACTCAAAGCTGTTGAATAATTAACCATGGTTAAAGTTTCCTGATTATGCCTTGGAAGGAAAAGCAGTCTTTTCAATTGTCCCTTCATCAGCAGTTCTCAACTCTGGCAGTGCATTTGGATTAAGTGTGGAGTTGAAAACAAGTAACAACCTCCAGACTCTCCCCCTCTAATTGGTCAGGGAGAAGTATTCTTATAATCTCTCCAGATGATTCTGATACACAGTGAGAACTGGGAACCATAACTCTAAATAAGGTATTACTATAATACAACAGGAAAAGATGAAATAAATTCAGTTTATAATGTTGTGTATAACCATATTGAGTAAAGTAGACTTACCAGGGTGGGGGGAAAAGGCATACAATTTGCTGACATTTGGAAACACAGATTCAAATTGAGCAAGATGAGCAGTTAGCAAAATACTGTTGAATAGTATTATGAGTTTTGACAAAGTTTCAATTTTACAACAGAAAAAACAGAAGAAAGCAAAATGATGGCATTTAGATCACTGTAGAGGCAGCTGAGACAAGGAAGTGAATAAAAACCATCCACGCTCTAGTACTTACTGTTTACATACTCAGATGCCCAGGAGAAATGTCCTCTGCTTGGAACTGGCAGGTAATACTGATACTCACTGAGTGCTTTTCTTGGTGGTCATCTCTCACAGACTTAATGATTTTACTTTGAACAATTCTAAGAAATGAGTAATAGGGATGAGAGTTGGACCATAAAGAAAGCTGAGTGCCGAAGAATTGGTGCTTTTGAACTGGGGTGTTGGAGAAGACTCTTGAGAGTTCCTTAGACTGCGAGGAGATCCAACCAGTCAATCCTAAAGGAAATCAGTCCTGAACATTCATTGGAAAGACTGATGCTGAAGCTAAAACTCCAGTACTTTGACCACCTGATGTGAAGAGCTGACTCATTTGAAAAGACCCTGTTGCTGGGAAAGATTGAAGGTGGGAGGAGAAGAGGATGACAGAGGATGAGATGGTTGGATGGCATCACCGACTCGATGGAGATGAGTTTGAGCAAGCTCCGGGAGTCGGTGATGGACAGGGAAGCCTGGTGTGCTGCAGTCCAGTTGAGTTCAGTTCAGTCACTCAGTTGTGTTCAACTCTTTGCGACCCCATGAAGTGCAGCACGCCAGGCCTCCCTGTCCATCAGCAACTCCCAGAGTCCACACAAACTCATGTCCATTGTGTCGGTGATGCCATCCAGCCATCTCATCCTCTGCCGTCCCCATCTCCTCCTGCCCTTAATCTTTCCCAGCATCAGGGTCTTTTACAGTGAGTCAGCTCCTCTCATGAGGTAGCCAAAGTATTGGAGTTTCAGCTTCAGCATCAGTCCTTCCAGTGAACACCCAGGACTGATCTTCTTTTGGATGGACTGGTTGGATCTCCTTGCAGTCCAAGGGACTCTCAAGAGTCTTCTCCAACACCACAGTTCAAAAGCATCAATAGGGTCGCAAACAGTCGGGCATGACTGAGTGACTGGAGTGAACTGAACTGAATATGAGTATTCTTCTTCTGTAGAGCAGAACGGAAACTAAAGCCCAGAGAGATTCGATGATGTGGACAAGCTGGCGTAGTTGCTGAGGTTGGTAAGTCCATTGAGCCCAGTTTGATTCCAGAGCCCAAATTCCAGACCCCTGCAGCAGCCTCTGAATTATATGATGAGTGATCCAGATAAGTTACACTGTGATCAAATAGCCGAGACCTGGATATGACATGATCTAGCAGAAGGAACTGACTCCCCTCTCTGTCTTGCAAATCTGTCTCAGTTTTTCTGTGTACATCTTGCACTGATCTTACCTTATATCAAACCCACAGTTAGAGAGCCTCCAAGGCCACGTGCCCTTGCAGAGAACGCTGGTTGTCCCTGGAAGAAATAAAGAACTATGATCAAAAGATAGCTGTTAGAAAACCTGCAGCCTTTTGTTTCCACTTTGTGGAAAATAGAAAATTTTATTTGGTATTTGCCTAGTTAGACTAGATGATAATATATTTTCCTATGAAATAATTTGTATTATAGGAATTCAGAATCATGGTAAAATTAAGTTTTCATCATTGTGGGCTTCCCAGTTGGCACTAGTGTTAAAGAATCCACCTGTCAATGCAGGAGGCATGGTTCGATTCCTGGGTTAGGGAGATCCCCTGGGGAAGGAAATGGCACCTTACTGCAGTGTTCTTACCTGGAAAATTTCATGGGCAGAGGAATCTGGCGGGCTATAATGCTACAGTCCACGGGGCCACAAAGAATCGACATGCCTGAGTGACTGAACACAAGTCTTACGTAATTGTAGTTATGAAGGGTGAAATAATAGTGACAAGGGAACAAACATTTTATTTTTTTAAACACAGCTTTTTTCTGTCCTTTAGTTTATGTATGCCAAAATGTAAACAAGATTTAATCCCTAAATTCTATCCATTTGAAATTAAAGAATGAGTTCAAAGTCATACATGCATTCAGGCCAAAGAATGTGAATAGTAAAATTAGTTATATAAAAAAAGGAGGCTTGATAAAGCCATTCTTTCCATTCTGTGTTTTTATAAAGATACATAATAAAGAAGTGTAGACCTAGATAATGAGTGAAGTTGAGTTTTGGTAAGGACATCTAGTTTGAGTGTTACATGGGTCTAAAAGAAGTTGAACTTAGCGGTAAATGGTTAGAAACGCTAAAGAAGACCTTTTCCCCTGGGATTCAAATAAAACGGAGAAGAGAGGCATGGACAGAAAGACAGAAACAGAAGGAGAAGCAGAGAGAGAAAAAGAATACAGAGAGAAGTGAATCAGAGTCTGCCCATGTAGTTAACTTCCCAAGGAGCTGCTGAAGAAGACAATGCAGGAATAGCTGGAAGCCGTAAGCCAGGTGAGCCTACGACTTCTAAAACTGGAGAAAATATCAGTGATGTCATAATTGCTGACAGGTCTCCTGACTTGCCCAGCAGGATTAGAAGAACCCATGGGAAAAAGCAAGAGAGTGCTTTCATTGAACTCTGAGATTCTTGGATGAAAAGTGTGATAACTTTGAATGGAAGAGTTGTTTGAGTTTCTCAGGATATCAGATGGTGTTATAATCAAGAAAATCTATTTAAAGCAGATGTATATACTTTAGGGAGGATATCAGATTCAGTTCCTATGGATGCAGTAAATAAAAACAGGATGATTTTCCCCCCCTTTTCTTCTGTGTTTTTTGATTTAACCATGCTATTTTCCACTTACAAAGCTTGTTTTATTTCTCTAAGCTCTTTACCACATTATATCAAAAGAGGATTATACAGTTATAATGAAAAGTAAATTTCCTAAGTGCTTGTAAGGTTTGATCTTTTTAAATATTTGTTAAATCAACCACTATAATATGTTGATGAATAAATAGAAACAGCAGTATTTATTAAAATATAACTGCTTCATTTATTATCATTTCTCTGTAACATCTTCTTATGGATTTACTTCAAAGACAATAAGTTGTGTTCAAAAGTTTAAACAAAGTTAAATGGATCGTTAAAGCTGCTTTCTTGCTTGTTGTTCAGCCACGAAATTGAGTCTGACTCTTTGCGACCCATGAACCGCAGCACGCCAGGCCTCCCTGTCCTTCATTATCTCCTGGAGTTTACTCAAACTCATGTCCATTGAGTCAGTGATGCCATCCAACCATCTCATCCTCTGTCGTCCCCTTCTCCTCCCGCCTTCAATCTTTCCCAGCATCAGGGTCTTTTCCAATGAGTCAGTTATTCACATCAGGTGGCCAAAGTTTTAGAGTTTCAGCTTCAGCATCAAGTCTTTTCAGTGAATATTCAGGGTTGATTTCCAAAGCTGCTTTACACAGTACATTAAAATCCCACAATTAAAATTGTAAAATAATATCTGACATGGAACAATATTCATGATATATTTTGTTTAAAATTATAGGTTGGAAACAATTTTCTTTAAAAATATACATATATAATTGATGAGAGAGATCTCTCAAAAACTATACTGTAATGGTAACGTTATTTATCTCCGGGTGGTAAAGTTAGGATTTTATGGGAGAATTTTCTTCTTTTTATCTATCAGCAATTTCTAAATTATATACAGTAAAGGTTTAACATGACAAAAAGTTTTAGGTTTTAAATGATGTCAGATGGATGATTAAATTCCCTCTAGAGGAGGAATATAAAGTTAGTGATGGATATAAGGAACTTTGTAAATGATGTGGGTTGGTGTGTTTATCTCCTTTGAGGATTAAATTACCACATTACTCCAAAGTTTATATATTTGTAAATGGATACATAAAAAAATACAAAATATGCTGTTAAAAGCAGAACTTTTTTTTTAATAGTCATACTTTAATCTCTTCATGGTGGTTTTCTGCCAGTATGATGAAAGCAGATCACTGTCCTTGGGTCCATGCACGATAGAGTGTTTTCCAGACTGTGGAGATGGTTTTCAAGCTACCTCTGACCAGTACTTATCTTAAATGTGAGTTGTATTATTCTCAGCTCCAAAAATCCTTTGATCTTTTTTAACAATGGGATGAGGAAGCTAACAATGTCTCCATTCAAAATCTTTTTTGGAAAAAGTACCTTGACTAATATTGTCCCTTTCATTTACTTGCAAAAGTAAACCTAAAAGTATTTTGGTAAGCAGACATCTTTTAAAAATTAGTTAACGTTTATTTACCACAAAGTAAATTTTCAAAAGGAGTTACATTTATTTTCTTTTAAGGAAAGTCAAAATCACCTATTAAAATGTGATTTATTAGGGTGAAATTTTACAGTAATTGTAAATAAAATCCGTCTTCAAAAAAAGTGACAACAACAAAAAACTGTTTCAACATGTGAAACTTTGATGCTTTCTGACAACGTCTATAGAGCATTAAAAAGTGAAAACAGTCATTGTAGCCAATCTTGTCTGTCCACGGAGACTCAACTAAGTTTTACAAAAATCGGTGCAAAAATCACCAATTTAGTCCAAACAGTCAATCCTCTAGCCCCATGAGGATACAACCTAAGTGTGCCTATTTGAAGATCAAAGGTAGGCTAAGACAGTTTGGAACTTTGATCTTCACATGACTGTGGAGTTTCAAGTAGCACTATAGGGTCTAGTTTTTTTCATCACCACTCTACTTTCCCTGTGAACCTGTGTTATCTGCTGAACTGCAAGGGAAGAGATGCATGGTTGGAAAGAGAACGACAATTATGTGAGAAGTCCAGGGCAAGGACAGCTCTGGGGGAAACACATGCTTTAGTGTACATATAAGTGATTTTCCAACATAGAGATGGGATATTCAAAAATGCTTGTGCTCAGTTGGAGAGCATTCAAAACACAAATTTTCAAACTTACTTTGAAAGTAAGTTTTTAGATGCATCAAATGAATTCGGAAAGAGATCATTAACCGGAATGTTATTAGTGCATTAATAATCATAGATATCTAGATATCAATCAAAGTCTTTTTCAGGACATAATACATACAAGTTAGTGACTAAATAATTGTTATCCCACAAAAGGTAAAGAAAGCAATTGTTTTGCAAATCCTGTTTTGCCAGCAAAATAGGGAACCTCTCTTATCAGACATTTTTTAGGCATTTTTTCTTGCACTGAGATATACTGTTACTCATAACTTGGTAGATCACGGCCACTTTGCTTCCCACAGTCTATTACATTATGTGCAGAATGGCATAGTAAAGAGCATAGGCAGTCCTTCTGGAATAATTTTGAAATTGAAATGACCTCAGTTTGTATTTTCATATCTGCAATGATCTACTGTCTTTGTTTGTTAATGCTAAACCTTTTATATTTTAGTTTTATCCATTTTACATTTCCTTCTATTTTCTTTCAAGGTGATTTTCAGACTGAAAAAGGCAAAACTAGTGAGGTCACTATGGAAATGACGACCCAAGTCAAGTAAGCAAGCTTTTAAGTTAGCTTTTCACTGCTTCAAATAAATATCAGATAAATTCCACCTTGTTTTTATGATGCAATTTTATAGAGGAGGCTGATAAATCACCCAGTCAAGTTTACTAAGTCTTAGAAAAATGAGGAAGATAAATTCAGGGGAGGAAAGAGCTGATATACTCTTGATTTATTAAAATATAGGCCATTCTCTTGGTCCCAGTGCTAAAAAGTATTTGGACATACATTGTTTTTGGAACATTTAAAAGAAAAAGAATCACTGTTCTGTGGGAGCTATCATAGAGTCAATGTGAATAGTGTTTTCAGGATTTTCTCATCAAAAACGTATTCAGAACTCAATAACTCATTTGGAAAAGTCTTCCATACTCCTCTTGTGATTAGCAAGGGAAAATGAGTTGAATGACATTCATAATAATTTGAAGTAGTTTACTAGTGTTCTGATAATTAGTTTCATTTCACTCTGAAAGTGAGTTTTGAGGGAAATGTATCTTCTGGCTATGTATATAATTTGATCTATTCAAAATTGCATTAACTATTAGGGAGAAAAAAGATAGATTTCATGTTACTAAATTTGCCTAGGATATGAAAAAAAAAAAAAAGAATTTTCACTGATAATTTGGATGATGGGACCAGAATCAAAGGAATTTGATCAGCTGAAGTTACATGCTTTTCATCTTGCCAGATGAAGTTTAATTGAGGTAAGTATAAAATGCTATATTTAACAAATAAGCAAATAAATCAAAACATGTTAAAAATAGGTGATCATGGATAACAGCAGGTGTGTAGAAGTCTGTGATAGATCTGCCAAAATTTGCTTTCAGGAGATCAGTATGGAGCTGAAATAAAGCTGGGCCGAGTTGTGGTCATCTAAAATTTCTCCCAGATATGTTGTGCGCCCTCCAAATCCCTGATTATAGCAGCTCCACTGTAAATGGACCTTTTCTGTTCTCCCTCAAGATTCACTCTTCTAATACTTTATTATTCAACCCCTGGTTTTCTGCATAAGAGTCAGTTACCTCCTTTATGTCAGCTTGAGTATCACTATATATCACCATATGAGGATGTATTTCCTAATAAGTATATGGCCCAGTCCTAGACCCATATCTCCTGTTTTTAAAAAAGTAAAGCCTGCCATTTTCTATGTATTCATGGCATTTATCATTACTGACATCTTTTTATCTATCCATTCTAGAGGATGACTTTCATAACTATTTGTTGAAAGAATGCTGGCTAAGTCCTCTGAGCTGAAGTTCTCATATGTGTTTTTGGAAAACTCATTTTACCATTGTAAGATCTAAATAGACTAGACTATTTATGGGGCTTCTTTATTTATATATTCACTTCTGACTGTACTTGGGCCTCAAAGTCATAGCTTCCTGTAAATGGGAGAGAAGAAAATTTCATAGAAGGACATATTATCCATTGCTTTCCCAATAATAATTTCCTCCTCTGATTCTTGATTTTCCTAAAATGTATGTTTTAAATCCAAAGTTCCATATTTTTCCATTGATGCTTGCTTGAAAGTGCTCCCTTGAGTTTACACTTAAGAAAAGGAGTTTAGGACCAGTCCATTGCAATATACTGGAAAATTTGTTAAAAGTCTCTCAGTCCTGTCCGACTCTTTGTGACCCCACGGATTTGTATAGTCCATGAAATTCTCTCCCAACCCAGGGATTGAACTCAGGTCTCCTGCATTGCAAGCGGATTCTTTACCAGCTGAGCCACCAAGGAAGTCCAAGAATATTGGAGTGGGTGGCCTATCCCTTCTCCAGGGGATCTTCCCGACCCAGGAATCAAACTGGGGTCTCCTGCATTACAGGCAGATTCTCTACCAACTGAACTAACAGGGAAGCCAGAAAAATTTGTTAAGTGTTATGTATTTTATATTATTCAAAACTTATGTGAGAATTGCTTTAAGTTCAGGGCATCATTCTGGAAGAGTTATATATACACTGCTAATTATTATGATAATTATTTTTGTAATTCTAATGTTAATGATAATTATTAGCAAGAGAGGTCTTTATGACCATATCCGAGTATGCATTGGATCCATTTCTTTGAAATTTAAGTAATGAATCATATAGGTTCATGAATTATGAAATAAATATTGATGTAAGATATACCTGGAATGTTTTCATATTCATGTAGCAATTTTACTGCTTTATCACGAAGTGGTGAGGTTGTAGAATATTCAAAATGTTTCCAGTATATGTCCTTTTAATAGGCATTACATTTATATATGGCTGAAGAAAGTAGTTAATAAAATCTAGGAGCAAAATTGAGAACCAGCTTCATAGAGAATGAGAACCATATTGTCTTTTTCTTCCTGTTAGATCTTATAAGTTTTTTCACATTTTCTTATTAGATTAGATTTAATCAAATCTTACTAGATTTTTTCATATTTTCTTATTAGATTAATCAGTTTCTCTACTACTTGTACCACATGGAGGCATAGAAGTTGGGCACCTACTTCTCATTTCATGCATTACAGATGTAGCAACTGTGAAACCGATCAGTGGTCTTTCAATTCCAAATTTCAGAGAAGAAACTGACTATTTCACTTGGGTTTGATTAATTATTTTGAGGAATACAGAGAATCATCAAATAAATATGGGTATCAACTCAAGGGTTTATTCTGAACCAAGGTAGATATCCCAAATGCCCAAATGCTCCAAACCCTAAACTCTCTGCTTCAAAGGCACAGTAATATTAATGTCTCAACTGCATTATCTTTAAAGCAGTGTCTTAAAAGGAATCCCATTGTTTGTTTCATTTCTCCAGCTTCTATGAAAAATGAATAAATGTGTCCTTAGAAAGCAGTCTTGATAATAGGGTAAAATCAAGATAAACAGTGAAGACCAAATATGCCAGAATGATCTGTTCACCCATCCTAATCCTAATACCTCTCTTCAGTTCAGTTCAGTTCAGTTCAGTCGCTCAGTCATGTCCAACTCTTTGCGACCCCATGAATCGCAGTACGCCAGGCCTCCCTGTCCATCACCAACTCCCGGAGTTTACTCAAACTCATGCCCATTGAGTTGGTGATGCCATTCAGCCATCTCATCCTCTGTCGTCCCCTTCTCCTCCTGCCCCCAATCCCTCCCAGCATCAGGGTCTTTTCCAATGAGTCA